CAGATTTCTGTATTTTTGCAATTTCCTTGATTAATTTGGCTTTAAATTCAAATGAGRGGGATATAATTGCCCCCTTCGTTCTAAGCACGTCCCTGACATTGCAAGCTCRCATGGACCTACCCATAAATCACATTGTCCTCAGAAAGCGGTACTCCTTTGTCGTSGACAAAAGGATCTTGGACAGCTTTGGGTCTAAGCCTGGAACAAAGTGAAGATACACTGGGTATCTGATTCTTGCAATGCAGGAAATCCTGTGACGTGTGTTCTTCTAGCAGTTTATCRTCTGGTAAATTATGACATTTTACTTTGATAGTAAATAATAATATTTGCATATGATCAGATTTCAATATTGATATCATTATCATCATTTATTATAATTGTTTTCACATTAATAGGGAATAATAATCATCTTTAAAATCAAAGCTGATTTGTGCTGATTGTCTCAAAACCGTGCAATTGTCTCAATATCTATCAGTTTTGCAATCCCTGTTTTATAAAAAGGGTAGAGCAGTTTTCACCATTACCCTCTACCCAGGCCACCTTGAAAGGATACTCGGATGGTGACATAATCATGATCATGATTGAGCATTATTGCTGTAATCTTCATATCATCTGCTTTTCGTAAATTTATCTTTGTACTCAACTTGCGCTATATTACACTAGAATATCTAAATCAAGACTACCTTGACTGGAAAAAGTCTCTTCATTGAATTCCTCTACATCATTAGGTTGTAAAGACTCCACTAGATAGTTAACAACCTCGACTTCCAAATCACTCCATACATCAAAGTTGATTGGAGGAGAGTCAGGATTAGAGCTGGGGATGAATTCATCATGTAACGGTGACRAASTAAACCGTTCTAGTTTAGCAAGCTGCGATGTTATTTGGCATAAATCATCTTGTGGCGTCCTATGTACAAGCTTCTCTGGGAATTCTATAGATAAATGTAGACCATTTGAACATACAAATTTAAGTCGTGTAAGGAAGACAGCGGATCGAGACAGCGGGGGGGGGGGGGAGGTTGATTAGGTAGGCTAGCCACCCCCTTGTTAAGGTTCGAAAATAGTCAAAGTAAAGATATAGAAATTATTATACACAGATGAATAAAAGAAGAAATTGAACCTGAATGAAATATAACTAAAGCAATAACTTACCTCTTTCCCAGGGTACATTA